CCCCAAAACCCCAAAACCCCAAAACCCCAAAACCCCTCTTGAAAAAACGCGAATTGAAATAATTATAAAATGATAATATTTAGAACTTCTTGCTTGAAGGTGTTGTTTTTATGATTGACAATACTTCTCCTATCTCAACCCTCACTTTGTAAGAAATGAAGAGCTCTAGCTCTTTCAGGAGGAGGAGATAAAGGATCTTACCAAGCGAGTGTATTCATCGAATTCACCAATCATCTTCCAATTGCCGAAGTCTCCTATGACGTGGTAACAGGAGCATCAGCAGGATCACTGAATGGAGCTGGAATTTCACTTTTTGCTCCTGGCCACGAAAAAGACGCAGCTACGTTCATATACGGGCTATGGCATTCCATCAAATCTAGTGATATCCTTAAAGTTCCAGATGACGGAATCCTCTATAGCCTCTTCTTCAAGCAAGGTATTTTCGATAATTCTCCTCTCGAGGAATTTTTATATAAGCAGTCTAAAGGGAAAACAATTGAAAGAAAGTTTACAGTTGTTGTAACCAACTCAGAAACAGGATTTTCTGAATTTATTGATTACAACCACTCTGATACGATCCCTGAGGATGCTATCCCCACAATAGTAGGCTCCTCAGCTATTCCATTTGCCTTCCCTCCGATGAAAAGGGAAGGCAAAACCTTAATCGATGGAGGGTGAATTTGGAATCTTGATGTAACAGGAGCCATCAGAAGATGCAAAGAAGTAGTTGAAGACGAGAAAGACATTATTGTTGACATCATTCTTTGTACACGATATTACCTCGAGGAACGAAAGAATCTGAAAAACTTCTCCGCTCTAGACCACTACTTCAGAGCCAGAGAGATTGAAGAGTGGCAGTTTAATATGCAAGATGTAGAGAGAGCAGTCGAGATGTACCCCGATGTTAATTTCAGATATGTTATCGGACCTTCAGAAATACTCTCAAACAGCCCTATCCCACTTGATTTCTCAGAAGACCACCTCAACAAATGATTCGAAATCGGACAAAAAGATGCTGAGGCTGCTCTCAGAATGGGTGAAGGAGGCTACCTCTCTGCAATGATGGATCACTACAAAGAGTACAAGAATGGTGGAAACAGAGACCTTCGAGACTTCATTAACCTCAGACTCGAGAGTGCTCCTCACGGAGAGTCCGAATAGATCAGATAATTTTCTTTAAAGCCAAATTATAATTAGCTCATTTTGCAGCTGATTCCAATACTTTTTGAGTTAATGGGGTTTTGGGGTTTTGGGGTTTTGGGGG